AAAATTAAATACAAGGCTCCTAACATATTTTTACAATAGCAGTTGAAAAATAAATTGAAATACATAGTCACAATTTTTTTTATAAGCATTCAAAGTTTAAATTTTGAAAACATACGTAAAAATCACGAAAATTCACAAATTATTTTATGTTAGAAATTGATAAAAAAATTTCATTTTAAATCGAAGATTTGAAAATTATTAATTATCTATAATAAATCCTAGACAGATAAACCGTCTCCGCTCAGAATCGTTTTTCGTATGCAATGATATAATATCATTGGATTCAAATTCAATTCCATCCATTACAGTAACCTACTTATAACCAATACTGTACAGCAGAGCGACATCCACGACTTCTCCGATTTTCAGGTTTATAGCGCATTGAATTCACAACCTAATTTTTATAAACCATAAATGTGCATGCCTGCACAAGGGTTTGCATAAAAAAATTTGCAGCCCCCCCACCCAAACTTTAAACTCAATTCGTGCTAATATTATTACCATAATTTTCGTTGGATTGAGCGAAATGTTCCGAAAGACTGTGGCTACCACGGTACCCGAATTGATATAAATATACAGAAGATTTATATAGTTGCGCATGCATTTTAACGGCTTTTATAATATCAACTACAAACAGGCGATCGCTTATCATCTGAAAATTATATACAATTATGAATTATATGACGATTAACGAACAATATTTCAAATGCAATACTTGAATGAACTGTTCTGTATTTCCTTTAASCAATTTTTTACTGCCAATATATTCTTCTCTGATAAGTTCTGACACGTTGTCGATTTTATCTTGAGGTATTGTGTAGTTATAATCCAGTATGTGCGGCATGACTTTGTTCCAATTTTCGTCAATATACTTCAACAACTCAGGGTTATTAATAAATTCTAAAAAAACAATACATAATACATGTTTTACTCACGTGTACCTAAAAACAACTATAACATCAGTAAATTCTAATATAGGTACCAGATCCCGGGTAGAGACCCTCATGAGTGGCAACACTGGACAACCACGGTACATCAGTCGCTAGGCCTTTGGCAATTATATTATAGGGCAGATCACTTATAAAAGCATTTTCACTAGGTAACTCGACAATCGGTCCGAAAGGAGAATATGGATTGTACAAGAATGGCTAAAAATTCCATAGCGATCGCATTTAAATAATACAAATATATGTAAACATTTAAAAACAAACAACGCTAAGACTCGAATGTGCTACTTACATGAAATAYTTTTACTGCTTCTACGATGTGCAAAGCTGGCCTTGTCATCAAACATTCAACCAATTCTTTCGACGGACGAGTAGGACAACCTAGGTAAGCGCCGACTGCTGCCGACTTATCCGGTACATTTTCAGCTATTGTCCAAGGGCACAAAGCCGTTCCGCTCTGAGAGAATACTTTTTGAAACAGTCCTATATAATATGATATTTGATTTATGTTATTTTACATCAAGTACATTAATCGCAGAGAATTATTTCACATGACTGGTTTAGACACTTTGACATAATGCTCATGAATCGATATAGTCATGTGGTTGATATATAGTATATATATAATATCGTATATATAATATATATATATAGTCATATTATAGTGTGAGACATATATATTTATGTACGATCGCCAACCACAGGCCGGGACCAGAGAGCAGGAGTGCCGACAGTGCCATGAATTTGTATACATTAATAATAARGTATTCGTTTAGTATGTGATCCGAGCAAAAATTGAGTTAAAAATGTGACCTATCAAAACGTTTATCTGCCAAAATATTATATATACCTACGAACAACGCGTACAGCCACACCGATCTATTAGATACATTAAAAAAAATATTTTTAAGTGATATACAAAAAGTGTATTGCTAAATTTTTTTTTAAATAAAATATTTTTATGATAATTTTTGAATAATTTTGACATATTACTATAAGAGGTATATTAATTATTATTAAATAATATATTAAGGTATATAAGGTATATTAAATAAGCCTAATTTTTTTTTTTTTTTACTGATTTTGATTTAATGTAATCTGCTTGTATTATTTTATATTTGTACCTATTAATTATATTAATCATTATATAAAAAAACAGACCGTATCGCACCGATTATGTAGTTACTGGTGTACAAAATAATAATCATTAATTAATATAACATAATTAAGAGTACCAGTCACAGTGAGAGATAAAATATATTTGGCTAACAAAAAAAAATTATTATCAAAAACATGACGTGTTCGTGTTCCGCCTCAAAGGCACCCCAGCAAAGCGATGTTTACTCCCATGAGGTCAACAGACGGAAAAAAAAGAAGTGACGCCAGTGACGGCGTGGGCCATCGATRTATGTCGGGTTGTATCCTAGCCCAAAAAATCGAAAAGCGACGGAGGGAGTCTTGTGAGTGCAGTTGCTACATTATTTAAAAATATAATTAGTCAATACTCTTGGAGCATAAACAAAAGTATGATGATACGTGGATTCGAAGAGACCTTATTATACCTAGACCACAAGTACAAGGAGAGGAGCTTTTGGTGGTGGGGTCATCTATCAGTGAAGAGCTGAGACCCACGGGACAAATTGCCTCATCACATGTCATTATCGAAAGGTGCCTGTTTATATAATAATGTAATATAGTAATATTTTAATGTGGTTTCATTTGAATCAGACGCCACAAGGTACAATAATAATAAAAACTATATAGCAATGTCTAACCTTTAGACAATGGTGACAACATATGAAAATGAACACTGGCACCTCCAGCCGACATTCCACTAATTGTAATATTCTCCGGATCGCCTCCAAAATACTTTATATTTCTTTTCACCCATTTTAATGCTTTTACTTGATCTTTTAAACCATTATTGCCAGGCACAATGGAATCTCCAGTACTAAAAAATCCTATATAACGTATATCATGTCTTAGATACATTGAATAGGCATAATATTAAACGTGTAAACACAAATATAATTTGAATATTATTACTATTATTAATATTAATGAGTTATTATAGAAACATGATGTAATAGGTTTAAGTAGTGTAACAACACTACCTAATCCTTATATATTATACAAACACAATATATTAAATAACCTTGAATTTAATAAATTGAAGGTTGCATTGCCGAGGTTAACCATACACAATTTTATTAAAATCTATGAAAAATATTTTGTATTAAATTCAAATTACTTAAATGGGAAAAAATATATGTATCTAMACTTGTTATAGAATACCTATAAGCGAAGGGAAAGTATGGATTTTACAATTTGCAATTTGAAATTCCCAGTAGTTTTCAAAAGCACCAAGAAAAGCGAAAATAAAATTAAGGGAAAACGGGGATTTTTACGTAATATCGGTTTTCGACAAAACCAATTTTGTTTGGTTTTTTTTTTAAACTAATGTTGTTATAAATTTTTTTGCTCAGTTAAAAAACTTTAAAATGTAATATATGTTATCCTTATTACTTTTTGTTTTTTTATTGTAAACAAATTAAACAAATTTAATATAAGTCATATAACATATGACATAGGTTATTGTACCTATGACGGACAATCATCGCTTTGAATCGTTTTTCGTATAAGWATAATAATTTTATAACATTGAATTCAAATTTAACACKTCCATAATAAACATATAGCAACTCTCTTCATCAGAGGTTTCCAAACTGCGAGTCACGACCCAAAAGTGGGTTATTTTTATATTTTTGGTGAGTCGCATTAAGCTTTGGAATATTTATATATTTAAAAAATGTTAAATATTTAATATACAATTATTTGATAATATATAAATATAAAAATAAAAGATTATATTATATTATATTATAACATGAATAACTTAAAATAAATATGATACAGTATTTTCCATGTAACTAAATCTTATAGAATGTGTATGTACAATGTATCTACATATAGATGTTTGAATTTGGTTTTGTTATATTATTTATCATTATCCACGACGATCACAAGTGTACCTACTATAGTGACATGTCATAATTACGCTGCTGGACTAAAATATATCGCAATAATAGTGATTAATAATCACTGATTATCAATAAAATTTAAAAATACTATTAGGAAATTGTGAGTCATCAATATTTGAACATTTTCCAAAATAGGTCCTACCGTGAAAAGCATGGAAAACACTGCTCTAGATACCTAATGTATACAACAAAACACCCACTTACCCCCATTTTTTATTTTTATTGTCTTTACTATAGGTTTGATTTGCTTAAAACAGGTTTTGCTTGTTTAAGTGGTAAGGTTAGGGTTGGAGATAGCTAATAATTAGCTTACGAAAGATTAAATTAGAGACTTAAATGAACAGTTGTTATTTTAAAATATATTCACTTTAAGGTAATTTGTTAATTTTTTTTTTTTTTAATATATAAAATCATAAGTAGGTACCTATTATTTGTGTATTCTAAGAATTACATATTTATGTAATGAAAAATATATATCACCTAATGGACCAAGCCGGTAGTTAAACGTAACGAGTATTATATCTTTGTCCAAAATGTAATCAGGCTGGTATACAGATCCGTAAAGGAACATGAAGGCACCTCCATGAATAAAAACCAATACATTAAAAAGTTTATTACTCTTTCCTCTTACCGGAAGCTATAGGTTATAAATTAAAACAATAATTATTTGAAATTAAAATAAACATATTCGAATCACTAACTGTTGGTGTGTATACGTTCGCATAAAGACAATCCTCGTCTCCTTGGATTAAATAACTCGAATGGTCGTATTGAATACATTTACTACCCGGAGATGATGCATTCCATACTCCTAGCCAAGGTTTTATTGGCTGTGCTTCCTATAATATCATATTATTCATATTATGTGTGTTCTAACATTCTGTAGCTATAATACACCTTTAAAATATTACACTTTGACAATCTCACCTGAAATCTCAGCTTTCCCACTGGAGGAGTCGCRTAAGGTATCCCTTGAAAACTATAAATAGTTCTTCCTTTCCATGTTTTCGATAGTATTCCAGATATGGACCCACTTTCAGTTTCTACTACTGGATACTGATGACCAGCTACCGAACAATACAAACCTGTCAATAACAAAACAATAACAAGGCACATATCGAAAAAATAGAAGAAAAAAAAATGTTAACGAAAATTGCAGTGTCGATTGACCACTGTGGTTGATGATAAACAARATGTGTAAAACGAGAATATAATGCGATGCACCTGGTTACAATTATTACTGTATGCTTGTTCCCCACTTCTTCATAAGGAATACAAGATATGTTACAAACAGCTCGACATCCTTCAGTTAAGTGGTATAATTATAGAAATTTATTCAGAGGAGAGATATAATTTTTCTCTGATTAGGTAACTATAATTACATTTAATTTTTATAATTAAATGTAATTTATAATAATTTATCATAAATATATTGTACTGTTATGTGGTGTTGTATTGTTATTCATATTTTTTTTTTTTGTWTATACATTTAATACCTATGTTATCATATTAACTAATAGGATTTTTAATATGTTTGGATAACATTAATAAATTATATTATTACATTCTTAAACACTCAATATTGTATATTTTATACGAGAAACTATAAAATATTGCAAAAATCACATACATATCTTAAAACTTGACAATACATTTATTTAAATTAGTATTACGTAAATAAAAATAAAAATCTTTTTTCCATTAAACTATTGTTAATAAATTAACTGTTGGAGGACAAAATAGAGATGAGCTAAGTGAATCACTGCCATATACCTATATATCATAAAGAAACAAGGATTATCTCTTAATTAATAATTAAGCATTTAAATCATCTATGTTCTATAATGATGGCTTTCTCAATTTCTCATACAATTCGGGAGTAAATGGAACCCGGATTATTCTAGTTACAAATAACAAATACATTTTTATCGATATTTATAGAAAAAAAAACTAAAAAATTGAAAAATTAAAATGTTAAAAAACAGCTCAAAACAAATCAAAATGTTTTGAAAACTTTATCAAATAAAGAAAATTTCTGTATAAACATTCAGTGAAAATTTCAAGTATCTGCGGTCATTTGTTTTAAAGTTACGTCAAAAACCAAAATCGATTTTATCGAAAACTGATTGTGCGTAAAATTTCCCGTTTTCCTCTTAATTTTTAGTTTGTTTATCCCGATTATTTAGAAAAATATTAAGAATTTTTTAGACTTTTGACCCCCCAAAGTACCAACTACATTAACTTTCTGATCGAACGAGGTACTGAAGTCAAAAACTGATGCACTTTTCTGCCCCAAAACGTGACAACAGACACACACACAMAAAAAAAAACATTTCATGGTAAACTCTATACATTCGTCGCTCCGTTCAGAAACCAAAATTGGAATTTTCCAACGTTCCATACTTACATACATTAATTACTCTTGAGCTTTTATATGGTTAATAATATAAATATTAGGTATGATTAATATTATCTGCTTAGTGYGCATGCCTGCCAAAAAAAAATTCAACAATTTTACACCTGTCGTAATATTGTGGCATTCAATTATTTCATTTTATAAATAACTGTAACTTAATTTGGTTATTTATGATTTTTTTGTATTATGAAATGTATGTTTTTGCATTGATTTTTAAGGAAAATTACATATTTTCACGTAAATATCTTTATAACATCACTAGATGGACATGCGTTCTATGTATACTGATACTCACATGAGGCTCACATGTCTTGTATGGTAAATCTGAACTACATATTAACATCAGCTTTTAATGGATATACCTGCCGGAGCGATATCTGCCCACAATATTATATTAAATGCATTATTTCTATAGCGACAATTTCGTTTTAACTTTAATAGGAAACATCTGTATTATTAGTTTAGATTTGTCTACAGTACTACACATATATTTATATTTGAGGAAGTCCAGTAGATTYTTGAGAGAGGGCATCGGACTAAGTGATTTCACAATTTTTATTTTTTAATTCAATTAAATCTATGTAATTATTTGTTTATYCTATACGGCTATCATAATACATATTTAATTTATTTAAAAAAGATTAACATAATAAYGATCCTATTARCTACCTAAGAATTTGTATCCTAATTAATTTAATCTTATTAAATAATTTTTTCATTTTACAAACACAATGTTATCTGTAAACATTAATATTTTTTAGACTGATAGGAAATTGTGATTTGCATCTATGCCAATGGACATTTTAAATATAAGCGAATGCGATTAAATATGCTGTATTAGGTGATGTTGTAAATTTTTTTCTAATTKAATGTAATTTTTTGGTCCTCAGATATTTTTTTAAGTCTTATTCAATTTCTTTAGTTTGTGTTTTTTGTTAGCCATCTTTATTGATTTGATGTATTTAAGGTTTTTTAATACTTTCTGTCTTTCGGAAAACAATAAAGAGTTTGTTTTAGTTTYATTAACAGTTAAAACAACATGAATAAAGTCCTAATAATAAAGTTTCAAATAAGTAATTTTGAATGGATTTATCTAAAAAGAAGTATTATCTTAAATAAGCAGAAAAAACGTTTTTATTTATAAAATATTTTATAACTGTGTTAGTTACACAAAAAAAGAACCAAAAACACTTATCYATTTAAAAAGTAGGTATTTAAAATACTCAGGTACAAGCATATTATTTGCTTTTTCTACATCACTCGGTGGATATATTATCTCGCCAACAGCATAGGAATTGTTCAAGATAAAATTAACGAATGTAGAACAACATATTATTACTGTACCTAGTTAAATATTTTATCATAATCTATAATTACACTATTTTAAATGTTTAAATATCTAACTAATATGAGTAATGAGYCTCTATAAGAATATAAAATTAATGAATCACGTTTAAAAAATATATATTTTAGATATGAATAAAACAACTATTTTAATGCCTAATTAAAAATAACTAACAGTGTTATAAAATGTATAGTCAACCATGAAATAAACAATATTATACATAAAATACTAATTAGAATGTAGAATAAACCACTAGACACAGTATAATAGAACAATTTATTGAATCATAGAAATATACGTTGTAATAATTATATATCAAAAATCAAAATGCTCAATGATTTCCTCAGTACTTTATCTAGTATTAAAAATTCGAAATCGATAAGCATTGGGACCGCAAAACCCATCTTTAGTTAATTTCTTAAACATTCAACATTTAACAACTTTATCTTATCGATCTAACCTTTATATTCATCCTTAATTTGGTTTTTATTTTTTATTTTTTTATAGGTATACTATAGCTAGATATAAGCCAGTAATCATTGGAGTTGTTAAAATTAATATAAATTTTACAATATAAAATAATATATCATATAATGCCTATACCCATGTACCGCAGATACAAAATGAATTCTGTCTTATTAGTACCATGATGGTGAAGAATACGAGGTAAAACCTCGTTTTGTTTGACTTATACTTATATAAGTATTCATAYGAATAGGTACCACACTTTTGCAATAGCCATTTCCATTTTCATAATAATGGAAAAGTGTTGGAAATATAAATTGTTGACGTCTGATAGTTGTATTAGGTTGATAACGGTTTGTTTCGTAAGTGGTTTGATWAGGGAAAACGTCACTTGCTTGCTTACTATATAATGTTATATAACGTGATATTATAACGATTAACGATTTATGATTACTATATTATCATTTAAAAATTTATCACATCAGAAACCTTCCGCTTTGACATCTGTAAAAATAGGCTGAGTAAAGCAACAAAATAATGTATATTTCACTAGCATTGGCATAAAAAAAAGCATATCATGATGGTAATCTGCACGAAAAACAACAGGGCTTATACAGATTAAATGGGGGAACTCGGCTTTGATTTAATTTATATTAAGCACCTAGTACTTACTACCTACCAAACTGAACTTTCACGGCTATCTATTAATTTTTTTATTTTTTGAACTCACGTCTCGATCGTGTCACTGGATTGTGTTATACCGCACATATGCCGCCGTTGGTATTTATAATAAATGGGCCCACGACTACCACAGACCACGAGGTAACCATTGGCATTGGAATAATACCTAATTTACAATTTTCAATGTAGGTAGGTTAGCCTATTCGTCGTACCCTGTTCGTGATTATAATATTATTCGCACGTTTACTTATAGCTTATATAGGTATACTTAGTACCCGAGGAGGGTGTCGGTGACTCGGCTTGTTTTATTAACTTAATCATGCGCCGTATACGTATTACATAGGTATTATTAATATCAAAGCTGCGGCTTGCGACCGCGTGAAACGAGTGACTCGTTT